AGATTTCAACCGTGGGTTACGAATAAAGGATAGGCCTTCTTATTAAAAGTTCCCTTTTATACTCATAACTACTGATACTTCGATAACATGAGCGAACAGAATTATTGAAAAGCCTCGTGTTCAATAATATTTTAAACGCCTCCTATGCGGCTGACGGCCATATGCAGTTGCACTGGTCACTTCCATTTTTGTCAGTTTCCACTGACAAAGCTTAATTGAAACATTTTTGGAACTTGCCAGGTGCGATTTCCTAAAATCTAAGAAAATAATCCGGGTTCTTGTACATTTTAGATTTACCATGCATATGTTCGGGGCCTTGTCCGGTAATCTGGCAATAGCATGAAAGTGGACATACGTCGTTTGTAAAATCGCATTTGTCCACACCAAATGCACTGTAGTAAACAGGGGTCATGAGCAGAACATTTCAGCGGTAGCGTATTCAGTGAAAATGTCCACATGATCCGCTGCTGTCAACGACGGGAGCGGCTGCCAAATAAGCAGCTTTTTTAGTTATTTGGCAGTACCGCGTTGTGTGCGGAGAATATGGTTCGTGCAAATTATGCGTCTGCTAAACTTCCCCTACGGCCTCTTTAGAGGTGACGGGGTCCTTGGTGATTACCTCGGTGGTCATCTGTCCGTGCCGGCACAGTAATACCTTTGACAGCTCCGAAAGAATCACAATGTTCCCGAGATAACGTAAAGAAATTTATCGTTGAGATCATACCTATCTCTGTTATAGAATGAACTATGTCGTTCTACAGCTAAGCTACGGTAATAAATACCCTTTAATACAGATGTCCCTTCGGCGCATATTAGCGGGGTGGGAGAGCGGGTTTATGTTCACGATTTAGGCGTTGGAATAAAGTTTAGAATTAAATCAAGGGGATATGTTACCCCAGGAATTTAGAGCAAATACGTATGTACTAGGGGACGGTGGTTTTGATTCCTGTCTGCAACAGTCTTCAAAGGGAATATATATTGTACTTAACTTGTCATTCGGCACATGTTATATGGCGTGAAAGTAGATGGTTTAAAGGAGAGCTCTTTTATCGATCAGCTTACAGGATGCGCAACGCAATACGGAGCCTCCGTAAAAATTCTTAGGTATACGCGGTAAGGGTAGCTGAAGGAGAATTGAGGGCCAAACAGCTTCCTTTCTGTATTATTTGTCGTCGTTTGGCAACAATTTATACCTTTTATGATCACAGAACTTACGATGTTAAGAAATATCAACGTTGTCAGGGCACATTCGTAAGATATCTGGACAACTACCGGAAGTTTAAGCTAGACACTGTCTTTCTGACGCCCGCACACCTACTTGGGACTGCCTCTGTGGACAAAATCAAATGAAAATCCTAGATGGACAGAAAGGCAGCTTTAAGGTACCGGTGATTGTATTTTATTTTTAAATCCCTCCTGGAGCACACCACCTTCCTTCTTTTAGCGATGGCCCTTCATTCCGGTTTCTGACGAAATTAAATTACACACCGAAAGCAGTGTTCACACTATTTGTCCGCATGCTTGTTTTATATGTGATCCTATAGCTGAATGAATGTCATCCGTCTGTTATGTGTCATATAAAAAACAATGCCTCTGCTCAACCATGGTTAGCAAGTTACCCAAGGGTTAAATATACGAAGATGCATTAAATGCACGCTCAGTAACGTGCCTTTAGCCTTCCATTTCTAAATTAATCCACCTTCATTTGCCATTGCCGTACTGCTTTTATAAATAAGTTAAAATATGCATTACCTAGCCTATAACCCTAAGATAGCAGATAGCTCATAGTTATTAGCCATATTCTCTCTCTCTAACTAGGCTCACTTAACAATATCTACCCTGTAACCCTCCTTGCTTTCCTTATAAAGGACGTACTACCCTATTTCACTCCTTATTCTTTCCTATCAGAATATTTCATCCATCAGTAATGCTCTTGTAGTCTACATTCTAACGAACATGTAGTTTTTTTATGACAGAAGTCAGTGTTTGCACAAGTGATCAAACGAATTACTCACGCATGTCTCATCTAGGATCAAGATGTAGGAATGAGTGCTGTCCGTCTTATTACACACCCGGTGCGATGAACGAAGGCCTGTGTTTAGTCATGATAACCAAGATAAAAAAATTACTTGAATCCTCCACTCGAGGCCGTCCCCAAAAACAGTGCTTGGTGCTTTCAGTTACTTTAAATTTATCAGTTAATGGCACTCATTCAAAAGGACGTGGTGATGGGCCCTTTGCAGAAAGATGTAAGAAAACCTACAAATGAACTAGTTCATGTTTTATTTAAACGGTCACTACAGTTTGGGTTGGGAAGGGGCTTATTCCTGCGCCGGTTCCACCGCCTCTGCGTCCTGTTCAGGCGTAATGGTCTTCTTAGCAGCAGCGCTAGACACATCACCGGTCTGCTCAACAGATATGGCCTGCTGCTCCTGCAACGGCACCGCCGCCTTCGGCTTCTGGACCTTGGCGTCCACAGCGGCATCCATGACGGTGTCCACCTCGGGCTGCTTTTTGGGCTGTTGCTTGTCTAGAAAGACATTGTGCGCGTAAAGGTAAGATTTTTGGGCAATAGGCTGTGCAATATATTGGATTTAAACTAATTTAATCGTAAATTACTTATCCAACTGACCAGTCAGACAGTCTGTATCTCACTGATACTCATTAACATTTACGCAAGGTTGTAGGCGATGACAGAGTCACACTGCATTGATTATACGCACTAGAAGCTGCATGTCCAAAATTCAGGACCAATTCTTTACAATCCCAAACCGTCTACTTGGTCTATTGCCATCCCTATGAAAATAGGTCGCGTTCTTTGAGTGTGAACATGTAAAAAACTTCATTTAAATTTGTCGATCTCGCGCATGATTATTGGAGTACATTTACATCAAACAAGCTATCGAAGACCGGATTCGCTTTCTGATATTAACAAAGTGTGTAGCTGACATAGTGCATAAAGCCGAACCGCACTACCGTAGGCCCCTATCAATGTGTATGAGCTGAACTACGGATTACAGTTCCTATGAATGCCTTTGGAGATACTTAATTTCACAAATGCAAAATACTTGTATAATTGGTAACTTCGGGAAATACAAGGAAGTTTTTCATTTGCGATTAACTAGAGAATTAAAAATCTTAAACGATATACAGACTATGCACAATAACTTCCTTATGTGTGCTGAATCAAAGTACAATGAATACTCACCAGACATGCTGATATTTTTCGTTTTTTCCAGCTCACTATCCATCTGCATGGTCTATTTATATGTTAGCAGCACAGAAGTTAACGTCAGTTGTACGTTTGTAATCGCCCCGTTCCCAAGAATTTTAGTAAACAAGTCAGCTGGGGAGGGGGCTGCCCTTAAGATTCTTGTAATCAACAAAATTCTTCAAAGAACTAAGCGGGGCCTGATTGTCGGCAGTTTTTCATATATGAGGTGTG